CGCCTGACCGTCGTCTCGCGGCTGCGACCAAAAAAGTATCCCCACCAGCCTTTCTTGGTCAGCCATGTGTGTTCGTCCCTGCTGGCCTGTAGCTAGCACGGTGGACTGCTTGTGCAGCCCCGCGCTTCGCCACGTTCGGTGGCGCGTCTACCTCTGGCGCCTGGTGCGACAAGGTTCAATTCGTCCTCTTCCCGGTGGTCTCGCCTCTGGCATGCCCGCACGCTGGCCGCTTGGCTCTCCTGGCAGCTTTCGCAGCCTGCCTTCAGCCCCCGGCGCCCCTCAGCCTCCCTCGGCGGCAGCCGCGGCAGCCGTGAGTGCGTCCGCTGGGTCATTTGGCTTCGGCCGTAGCCCGGGTTGATTTCTGACGCCGCATGCGCTTTCGCTTGCGGCTGCGAAGGAAAAAGTATCCCCACCAGCTCATCTGGAAATGATGCCCGTAGCTGAGGGGGGAAGAGAGAGAGAGAGAGAGAGAGAGAGAGAGAGAGAGAGAGAGAAAGAGAGAGAGAGAGAGGAAGAGACACGCATAATCAGTCCATGCAGATTCCCTGGGGCGTCTGACTGGGCTGGCCATCTCGCGCCTTGTTGAGCGGTCTTGGGGCGTCTTGGAGCATCTTGGGAGCTATCTTGAGCCAGCCTGGGCTATCTTGAGCCATCTTGGAAGTCATCTCGGGCTCTCTGAGGCCGCTCGGGGGCCTCTCGGGAGCTTTTCGGGTGCTCCCTGGAGGCCTCTTGGGGCCTCCTGGAGCGCTCTTGGAACCCTCTCGGGGCCTCTTGGGAGCCCTGGGGGGCCTTTGGGGGCCATCTTGGAGGCGGTCGGTCAAAACAGGGGGGTCCTCGATGTCCCTTCCCTTTTCGGGGGCCATGATCCTCGTGCGGGGTGTCAAAGATTGGCCGTCCCAGGGGCCGAAACAGGGACACATCGGTCCCCCCCAAAAAAAAACACCCAGGGAGGGGAGGGGGAGGGTTCCCCTCCCCGTCGGGAAGAGGGGTCGTGGAAGAGGGAAGAGACCCTCTTTGGACCACCTGTCGCCCAGAGGGCTGGTGGGATTTACTCAAGCGCCGCGCTCTCGAAAGTCAGGCACCCAGGAGTCGCGTTCACGCTTAGGACTCCCGCGCAGCGTATTTTGGAATCAGGATCTCGCAGCCCTTCGTGGCCCCCATCGCTACCTTTCGTGGCCCCGTTGCAGCCCTTCGTGGCCTCCTCGCTGCCCTTAGTGGGCCCGTTGCAGCCCTTCGTGGCCCCCTCGCTGCCCTGCGTGGCCCCGTTGCCGCCCCTCGTGGCCCCCTCGCTGCCCTCCTTAGTGGGCCCGTTGCAGCCCTTCGTGGCCCCCTCGTTGCCCTTCGTGGCCCCGTTGCAGCCCTTCGTGGCCCCCTTCGCTGCCGTTCGTGGCCCCATCTATGTATGCCCTTCGTGGCCCCCGTTCGTTCGCGCCCGTCGTGGCCCCATATGCGTGCGTTTCGTGGCCCCGCTGTCGCCCTTCTTGGCCCCCTCGCTGCCCTTCGGGGCCCTGTTGTTGCCCTCAGTGGCCCCGTCCTTGCCCCCAGCGGCCCAATATACGTATGCCCTTCGTGGCCCCCGCTCGTTCGCGCCCGTCGTGTCCCCATATGCATGCTTTTCGTTGCCCCGCAGTCGCCCTTTGGGCCCCGCATTATCTGCCATTCGTGGCCCCCGTTCGTTCGGGCCCTTCGGGGCCGTCGTCGTCGTCGTCGTCGTCGTCGTCGTCGTCGTCGTCGTCGTCGTCGTCGTCGTCGTCGTCGTCGTCGTGGTCGGTCTCTTGTCCGTGCCTATTGGGGTCGGGTTGCCGCCGATCAGCGCTGCCGCTGGCCAGGCCGACGGTCCGCGGCCGTCCCGCCGCTTGCTGGGGCCCGGCCTGCAGGGAAAAAAATACCCCCCGAAACGGATACGATCGAAGACGAAGAGGGCGTGCATCGAGGGTTTGGGAAATACACATTGAATGGCACTCAAGCAGATATGAGCGAACAGTCTTACAATGATTGTTGCTGTTGTTGTTGCTGGTTGTCGTCGTCATCGTCGTCGTCGTCGTTACCGTCGTCGCCGTGTTCCTTGTTATCGTCGTTGTCGTCGCCGCCGTCGTCGTCATCGTCGCCACTGTCGGCGTCGTCGTCGGCGTCGCCGTCGTCGCTATCGTCGTCATCGCTGCTACCATCGTCGCCCTCGTCGTCGCCGTCGTCGTTGTCGTCATCGTCGGCGTTTTTGCCTTCATCGTCGTCGTCGCCGTCATGGTCCTCGAGCTCGTCGTCATTGCCGTCGTCGTCGTCGCCGTCGTCGTCGCCGTCGGCGTCGCCGTCGCAGTCGTCGCCGTCGTCGTCGTCGTGCTCGTCGCCGTCGCCACCGTCGCCGTCGTCGTCGTCGTCGTCGTCGTCGTCGTCGTCGCCGTCGCCGTCGCCGTCGCCGTCGCCGTCGCCGTCGCTGTCGCCGTCGCCGTCGCCGTCGTCGTCGTCGTCGGCGCCAGGGCTCGGAGTAAGGGGGGGTTCGACCCCCCCCCCCCTGAATCGTCGTTCTCGTCGACGCTGGCCGCCGCCCGGCGCAAGCGCAGGCCTGACGGCAGAAGGGTGTGGGGGTTCGAACGCCCCCCCCCCGGTTGGAGATGGGGGGGGGCGCTTCGGGACACGCCCCCTCCTTCCAAGTGTCCACATAGCGTGCTCTTTCCAGAAAAAATAACTTGGGCGCCAAATGCGGACGGTATACGGAAATTATCCCGGCAAAGCAACCTGACAGCGATGTGTAGGAGCATATCTGGAAGCATCCCCCTTAAGATTCAGATGAGAATCCAGTTGTAGAATTCTGCTGTTCTCGCAGTCGCAGTCGCATTCGCGATGACAGTCGCAGTGGCAACGGCAGTCGCAGTCACAGCCTCAGCCTCAGCCTGCCTCAGCCTCAGCGTGCCTCAGCCTCAGCCTCAGCCTGCATCAGCCTCAGCCTCAGCCTCAGCCTGCTTCAGCCTCAGCCTCAGTCTGCCTTCAGCCTCGGCCTCAGCCTCAGCCTGCCTCAGCCTCAGCCTGCATCAGCCTCAGCCTCAGCCTCAGCCTGCCTCAGCATCAGCCTGCCTCAGCCTCAGCCAGCCTGCAGCCTCAGCCTCAGTCTGCCTTCAGCCTCGGCCTCAGCTGCCTTCAGCCTCGGCCTCAGCCTCAGCCTGCCTCAGCCTCAGCCTGCAGCCTCAGCCTCAGCCTCAGCCTGCCTCAGCCTCAGCCTCAGCCTCAGCCTGCAGCCTCAGCCTGCCTCAGCCTCAGCCTCAGCCTGCTTCAGCCTCAGCCTCAGTCTGCCTTCAGCCTCGGCCTCAGCCTCAGCCTGCCTCAGCCTCAGCCTCAGCCTGCCTCAGCCTCAGCCTCAGCCTCAGCCTGCAGCCTCAGCCTCAGCCTTCAGCCTCAGCCTCAGCCTTCAGCCTCAGCCTCAGCCTCAGCCTCAGCCTCAGCCTCAGCCTCAGCCTCAGCCTCAGCCTCAGCCTCAGCCTCAGCCTGCCTCAGCCTCAGCCTCAGCCTCAGCCTGCCTCAGCCTCAGCCAGCCTCAGCCTCAGCCTCAGCCTGCCTCAGCCTCAGCCTCAGCCTGCCTCAGCCTCAGCCTCAGCCTGCCTCAGCCTCAGCCTCAGCCTGCTTCAGCCTCAGCCTCAGTCTGCCTTCAGCCTCGGCCTCAGCCTCAGCCTGCCTCAGCCTCAGCCTGCATCAGCCTCAGCCTCAGCCTCAGCCTGCCTCAGCGCCTGCAGCCTCAGCCTCAGCCTTCAGCCTCAGCCTCAGCTGCTTGCCTCGCCTCGGCCTCAGCCTCAGCCTGCCTCAGCCTCACCCTGCATCAGCCTCAGCCTCAGCCTCAGCCTGCCTCAGCATCAGCCTGCCTCAGCCTCAGCCTCAGCCTGCCTCAGCCTCAGCCTCAGCCTGCTTCAGCCTCAGCCTCAGTCTGCGTGCAGCCTCGGCCTCAGCCTCAGCCTGCCTCAGCCTCAGCCTGCCTCAGCCTCAGCCTCAGCCTGCCTCAGCATTCAAAATCATGCCCAGGAATGGAGTTCTCGAAACTCGAAGACCACGAAATGGCCTACAGTTGTCTCCGGGCATTCAAAATCATGCCCAGGAATGGACTTCTGGGAACTCGAAGACCATGAAGTGGCCTATGGTTGGCTCCGGGCGTTCAAAATCATGCCCAGGAATGGACTTCTGGGAACTCGAAGACCACGAAGTGGCCTACAGTTGTCTCCGGGCATTCAAAATCATGCTTAGGAATGGACTTCTGGGAACTCGAAGACCACGAAGTGGCCTACAGTTGGCTCCGGGCATTCAAAATCATGCCCAGGAATAGATTTCTGGGAACTCGAAGGCCACGAAGTGCGTTACTGTTTGCCACAAATGTAGGGTCCGGATTCCCGCGGATCCCGCCCGGATCCCGCCCAGACCCCCCTGGGGAGTCATGATGCTCTCTTTTGAGACCATTAGAAACCTATCAGTCTTCGCTGTTAGGTAAAAACGCATTGGCGGCTTCATTGGAGGGCGAGAGTTTGATGGCTTTCGGCCCATCCAGCCGTCGCGTTTTGGTCGCGCCCCAGAGACATCGGGAACATTTTCGGATCCCGTTGAGGAGGAGGCGGAGGAGGAGGAGGAGGAGGAGGAGGAGGAGGAGGAGGAGGAGGAGGAGGAGGAGGAGGAGGAGGAGGTGGGGGAGGAGGCAGAGGCAGAGGCAAAGGCGAGGCGGAGGAGAGGAGGAGGAGGAGGAGGAGGAGGAGAGGAGGAGGAGGAGGAGGAGGAGGGAGGAGGGAGGGAGAGGAGGAGGAGGAGGGAGGAGGAGGAGGAGGAGGAGGAGGAGGAGGGAGGAGGAGGAGGAGGAGGAGGAGGAGGAGGAGAGGAGGCGGAGGAGGAGGAGGAGGAGGAGGGAGGAGGGAAGGGGGTGAGGAGGAGGAGCTGGCAGGCCGCCTGGCCCGGGATGCCTGCGATGGGCTGCGCAGCAATGGGCTTTTTCGTCCCCCCCCCACCTCCTCGTCCTCCTCGCCTGTCCTCCGAAGGTCGTCGTCACCAAGGAGGACACCGACTCCCAGGAATCCTCCCACGGAGCGAAGAAGAGCTGGGGCATGAGGAACCTGATGATGAGGGTCAGGACTGCGGCGGGGCAGCGGCTCGCGATGGGGGGAAGGAGCGAGGGCGTGAGACCAGGAGGGTGGGATGGGGCAGGGAGGGACGAAGCAGGGGAGGCAGGGAGGGAGGGCAGGCAGAGGGAGGGAGAGCACAACGGCTTGACTAGAGGCTTCGTCCAGGCGGGCGCGCGCGGGCCCCGCAGGCCCCAGCCTTCGTTCGCTCCGTCGTGCATGCTCGAGCGTGGTGTGCTCTCTGCCGAATTCACGTTGGCTGGCCCACACCTCGAGGTCGCAGTTGTCACGGCACGTGTTGACCCCCCCTCCGCATATTCCGAAGGGTAGAGGGGTGGGAAGATACTTCGGATAGGGGGGGAAGGTCAGGCAGTGGGGCGCGGGGTGCCCCCTCGAGCCCTCCCGCCATTTCGACGTGGCCACCTCCCTCGGCACCCAGGCGGCCTCGGAGGAGCAGCGGCGGGCTCCTCGGCAGCTGGAGGCCGCCTTCGCCCCCTCGCCTCCCGTCGCCCAGGCAGCGTTGCTCGATGAGGGCAGCCAGCGCGCTGCGGCGGCGGAGCGCGGCGCACGTCGGGCCCTCCGGGCCCTCGAGTGAACCTTCAAGCAATTGGCAGACGCTCGCGAGTGGTCCACGGACTGCCAGACCAAGGTGGACCACGCCGCCGACGCACATTGCGCCGCCCAGGCCGCCTGGAGAAGGCGAAGAAGGCCCTGGCGGGGCACGAGGCCGCCGCGGCGGCGGCGCCCTCGCAGCCGCCCCCTGCGGCCCTCAACCTCTCCGACCTCCTCACCAACGAGGGCGAGGGCATCCGCGTGGAGGACGGCCCGCTGTTCGACCTCGATGGCCTCGACTCGAGGTCAGCCCCGCGCGACGCGTGCGCATCGAGACCCTGGAGAAGCAGTCGGCCGACCACGTCGAGGAGGCGGTGGCGTCGCATCTCGGCCCGGGCGCCAAGGAATGTGAGGCCCAGCGCAAGCAGATGGAAGAGCCGCGCACGTTGCGGGCCACTTTCAAGACGCGGAGGGGCCAGGGTGGCACGCGTGGCAAGCCCAGCCACAGGTGGGGCCCCACCTCCCGCAGGAGCCGCACCGCCTGCGGCGGCGGCGGCGGGGGCGGTGAACACCTCCGGCGGCTCGCCAGCTGCTGGTGCGGCGGGCGTGTGCGCCGGTGACGATGCTGGCGCTGCTGGGCCTGCGTCTGCAGCAGGCGCTCTTTCGGCAGCCGCCCAGAAGGAGTTCGAGGCAGCCATTGAGCGGGCCCGTGGCCGAAGAGGGGTCAACCAGCCTGTGCCTGGCTCCGAGCCTTCTAACTCTGCGGCCCGAGCCCTTCGTATTCCCTCCCGCGACCTCTGTGCCCCGAAAGATCGCGGCTGACGCGTTTGTATTCACTCTTGCAGCCCATGATACTCTTCGGGGGGACGCATGGAGGCAAAAAGGGAACGAGCTCGCCAGCGACTGCAGGAACGGCACGTGGCGGGGAGAAGGGAGGGGCTGCTCATTGTGGCACGACAGTAGCAGGAGTTGGTGGTCCAGCTCATCATGGTCGGGCAGTCCGGAGTCTTGCGCCTCCTTTATCGACTCCGACGGCTACGGTGTCCAGACATATCCAGTCTGGAGTGGGGACCAGTGGTATGTACACCTGCCATTGGGGCCGTGCCGACCCCATGCAGTACATGGACTACGCGTGGGGCTGGGCCTCTGGCCAGACCGTCGCGGCCGCAGACGTCCAGGCCAAGACCAAACCTCCACGTCAGCGTGGGCGCGGTGGTGTTCGCAACCCTATCCTTCAGCTGGTCAGCTTCAGCTGTTCAGCCTAGGTTCAGGCTAAAGACGTCCTCGACGAATGCAGGAGCAATGAGCTGCTCGACTCGATGTACATCGACCTTCTACAAGAGCACAAGCTCACAGCGCCCATCTCGTCGGACATCGAGGAGGCCAGCTTCCAGAGACACTACTCGGCGACCCGTGTCCCAGCCACCTCAGATCAGGGTGGTGGCCCCTCGGCAGGCGTCGACTTCCTCATGTCGCAAACCATCGGCTTCACCTCTCCTGGAGGGCCGGCAGAACTTCGATATATCGCCGGCGGGATTGGCGGGAAGAGCGGCAGCGGGCTGGTGCTCGGCGGCGCAAAAGTGTGGTGTCATGATCATCGCGGCCTTTCTGGATACGCGAGGGGTGGGCCCTTCGCAACTTGTCTATACTGGAAGCGGTCGCTTCTGTCACCAAAAAGTATGACATTCGTTGGATGTTGCTTCCTGACTTCAGGAACGCGAGACAGTCGTTGCTTGACGTGGGGGTGTCTGAGGGTGTATCAGGCGTTGCGATTGCCCCGCGTTCAGTAACCTGCTTGGGGGTAGGCGACGGAAGCATGATTGATTTCTTCGTCATGGGTGCCGTGCTGGCCCTTGACGCCTCATCCCCTCCTCGCTCTCTAGTCATGCTCACCGCGATAAGCTGGGCGCGTGCGAAGGCGGGATGGCGGTTGGCCTGGCCGCGCTCTGTCCCCGCGCAGAGGCCGATTGGCTTTTCGCCCCCGCGATGGCCCCGGTTGCGCCGTCAGGAACGCCCGTCGCCCGCCAGAGCTGGCGAGCCTGTGGAGCAGCATCGGTGCCTCTGCCGAGATTGAGCTCACGGGCCTCCAGGGTCTGGGCGAGCCTCTGGCTTGCCTGTGCATGGGGGGGCCCCCGCGCTGGATCTGGGCTCCTGTGGCTGGCCTGCAGCCTCGCGCTCGACCCAGAGGGGGCCCCGGCTCCGGGGCCTGGAGGCGGGCGACCGCGGTCGCGGGTGTTTTTGTCGTTTTAGCGCAGGCTGCGCGACGGGGGCAGTCCTGGTCCAATGCCATGGATAGGCGCGAGAATTTCGAGCGGTGCATCCGCAGCAGCTGCGTTCTCTTAATCACGATCTAGGCGATCATGGGCAGGTCGTTCAAGACCTGCTCGCCCGCTTTGGATCTTTTCTTTTGGCTGGGGAAAAGCTCGCTGTCCAGGCCCCCGAGGTCGTGGGGCCTCGGAGGCGCGCCGCCTCCCATGCCCAGGCCATTGAGCGCTCCCAGGCTTCGTTCCGTCAGACAGACGGGCGGGCGCGGCTTCGCGCCGAGTCTCAGGCTGGCAGTTCTGTCACCCATCGGATCGGCGTTCCCCCCTCCGCCCGTCGCGGGCTTCGGCGCTGGAAACGTCGATCTGGCAGGCCCTCGGCGCGCGGCAGACGAGGCCGCGCTTGCGTGGATCAAGCCCTGGGCATCTCTTTGTCGGGGCTGCTCGGGCCCTGGGGGCCGACCGTGGGATCGGGCCCAGTACCAGTGCCCGTTGGTCGCGTGGATCGTGGGCCGTTTGCAGAGGTCTGTTTGAGTTTTCCAGCGCGCGCGGGCGGGGCCGACCACTGGCGTCCCCGGCGGCGGGCGTGGCTTCTTGATGGAGGTGGCGACTGCCTCGTCGAACTCGTCGCGCTCGTCTCTCGCGGGGCGCCGTGGCTGGGGCAGGTGCGGCATATCGTATTTTTCTTGCTTTCGAAAGTCGCCGGTGGCGCTCGCCCCGCGGGCCCCCCCCATCCTCGCAGGCGTCTTGGAGCGCGCGGTCGGGCGCGCTCCGCGACCGGGGGCGTTCTGCAGAGTTTTCGCGCGTCTACGGAGGCCCTGGGCGGGGCCCCGAGGGCGCGGCGCCGCGCCGAATAGTGCGCGGCGGGGGGGCGGCGGAGGGGGGGGGGTCTCTGCCGCCGCGGAGCTGTCGCGGGCGTTCGAGCGCGCCGCGATGGCCGCGCAGCGGCCGCGAAACATGATCGGCGCGCGCCCCCCGCGAGGCTCGTGTCTCTCCGCGGCGTCTCATCGCAGCGTGTGCCTCGCGCCGTCTCGGCCGTTGTAACGGGGTCGGTCGGGGGCGCGCGGGCGCTTGAGATGGCTGCGCCGCGGGTCGCGGATGACATTCGTCGTCGACGGGCATTCCTGTTGCATGTGAGCCTTGTTGTGGGCGACCTCAGCTCGCAGGTGCGCGGGGCCCTGCCTGCAGTTGCGATTTTAGCACCGGCCGGTGCAGAGTCTATCGAGCAGGTGGATTCCGTTTGGCACGTCTATATTTCTCGCGTCACTCGCCCCGGTGAGAAGGGGGGGATTTGCACTCTCGGCCCGGGCGGCGGCCCGGAAATGCCGCCCAGGATGGGCGCGGTGCCCGGGGCTCGCCGCGCCCGCGGCCAGCGCGCAGCATGGCTTTGACAGCGCTTGGTCCGAGTTCGCAGAAATATGCTTCGACGTTTCAAGTTGGCCAGTAAGCGCGAAACCGAGCTGCGCCCCCTCAGCAAGCGGGGGGCGCGCCTAGCCCGAGTGGCGCGTCAGGGCGCGATCGTGATCCATGCGGTCACCCGCGGAGCGAGCCGCTCAGGTGTCTCGCCCGTCTTCCTCGAGCGCATGCGGGCCGTAGTCCCTGGCAGCCTGGGGGGCGCCCGGCGCCGCGGGGCCCGCGCCTGGGCCCGAGGGGCGCGATCGCGCATTCCGGTCGCAACCTGAATGGCCGAGCCGATCCAGTCGCGGAGCCATCCCAGCGCGCTCCAGGCACGTGGTCTAGCGGGATTTGGAAGGGGCTCGCGCGGCCGACGCGGCCGGAGCCTGGCGCTGGGCGGTCGACCGCGCGGCCGCGCGCCAGCGCTGTCCGTTGGGCGGCCCCTTGTGCGCAGGTCCGAGGGCCTGCCTCCGGTTGTTACCTCGCGCTGCCGCGCCTAGGCTGGGCGTGGGCCGCATGGTGCGCGATGTGCTTCTGCGCGGGGGGATTTGTCGACGCGCGCCGGGTCGCTCCCGGTCCTATGCGGAGATGCGACGCGCTTCGGCTTGAGGATCAGGAATTGGCCGATTGGTCCGCTCGCCGTCAGACGCCATTCTGCGGGCCTTGTCTTGGCCCTTGCCGCTCCGCGCTTACTATGCAGAAGGAAGAGGACAGCGGCGCGTGGCCATGATGGCTCACTTAGGAGGTGATCCCTGGGCTCGGGACAAGAATGGCGCGTTGGATGCTCGGCCGCTCGCGCGCGT